TGGCAAAATCCTAAATTAGCGACTGCGCTTTCAGGAAATCTCTTCACTTGAATAGTGAATAGAAGTGTTGTGACCTTAGGTCAGTAGATGTCTTGTCAGTGGACTCAGCATCCAAACCTCCTTCGCGGTAAATCTCCAATGCTTTCGATCCATGTCCAGCTTCAAGCTCAGCGCGCGCCCAGTTTCAAGTAGCCGTCAGCCCACTCTGGGATCAATTTGGTGAGTTGTTCAAACTTGATTGCTGACGCAACAAAGTCCCTCGCAGCGAAAGAATTCTTTGCCGATTCAAACAAGTCTTTGAGCTTTTGGTAAGCTTCTTGTTCCTGCTCGGTCGGAGAAGCGCCAGCGAATAAAGCCGCAAATACCAAAAGGAAGAAGACACACAAGAATTTCATTATTTTATCGATGACACAGTTCCAGCATTTCCAAGCATTTCCCATTCTCCACGAAAGCATAGAGACAAAAGTCCTTACACTTTCGGTGCTGGTGGTGTTCTTGAGACTAATAAAATTTTAGTCGCTCCCTTCCGCAAAAATGCCCACTCGCGGGATTGATCCACGGACCTTTGCATTACAAGTGCAACGCTCTACCACTGAGCTAAACGGGCTTGTTCGTTAGCTGGCTTTATTGTATATAATTCAAAAACCCTTTTGCAGGAGGAACATGTGTCAATCGTATTCTCATCCAGCTACTGTTAGATGAAACCAAAGAGTTTCGATAAGCATTCATGTTGACAAATGACGACAGATGGTAATGACAAAACAAATGAAATTTGAAGTCCGAACGAAAATTCCATTTCGCGTCTTTTGATGATGAAACAGAACAGAAACAAGAAGAAGAAAACAAAACCCAAAACTCATCGCATTAATGAGCGAATACGTCTCGAAACCGCTTCCTGAACCACCAGCTGCCAAAGGCCCTTCGCCAACCCTGGAAAGACTCAAGAAGAGGCAACAACAGCAAGAAGCAGCCACCAACTCGAACCAGGAACAACAACCACAACTTCGACCTCGAGGAGAGTCATCGCGCAGACCTGTTCCCACTAGAACATCCTCAGACACTAGCAGAGAACAGACAAACACCTCGACACCTGAACCGCAACGGAAAATTCGCAGACCTTTGCCAGAAAGCCAATCATCGAGCAATGAACGAAGGGAAAGGCCTCCGAGGACATCACCAAACTCGTCATCTAATTCAAAGGAGCCGAAAGAAGCAGAAGTCATTGTGGAGCGCAGGGAAAGAGTCGACGTTCCAGTGCGGCGAAGATTACCTGATCCAAATGTTGCAGCTTCGTCAGCTGAGGGACCTCGGGTCCCCCCACCTCGAAAAGCAAGCTCGGAAGAGTCCAGCGGGGGAAGTCAGCGTGTTGAAAGGGAGCGTGTTGAAAGGGAGCGGCCATTACAGAGAACTCCGGCGATTGTCCCACGAAAGCCGCGTCCAGAAATACCGCAACAGCAGCAACAAGTACTGATGCAATTGCCTCCTCCAAGTTACGCTATCCAAAACATGACTATTCCAGAATCTGTTGTACCTGCATTGGTCCGTATTGGGTCGCCAAGAAACTCAATATCCGACGACTCGTCCCTGGCCTACTCGTCAGGAGACGATGAAAAAGGAGCCACCCCAAAAATGGTGCAGCAGTCTTCTCAGATTGCGTTGGATGCCGTTTCAAAAGCTCGGAAGCTAATTGAGGCAGTTCGATCTCAGCAGCAGTTGGATTCAAGATTTTCCATTTAAAAATATCTACTTTTAAGTCTAGTTTGCAGTGTGAATAATAAATGCATTTTCAAATTATGACTTTTGACGTTGGTTAAATGATTCTTGAAAGTCGCAATCCAACACTCTCTCGAACAACAAATTGCACTTTCTGTCAAACAAGGATTGAATTCAGCATTCCGGTCTCGGACGCATTCATATTCTGTAAAATGCTATTCCTGCCTCCAAATCAACTCAGTTGATGACCTCAGTGCAAAAACTGGTGCATCACCAACTGCTCCACCAGCAGTGACTGTTAAAGACCCAGAGTACTATATTATCCTTCAAATTCCATTCGATGCGTCCCCGACTGCCATCAAGAAGGGCTATTACAAGATGGCCATGCTTTATCACCCAGACAAAAGCGATGACCCTGAAGCCGAATCAAAGTTCAAATTAGTGTCAGAAGCGTATCAAGGTTTGAATTTATACGTTTAATGCAATTCAATGTGATGAGATCTAAAGACCATACTCTTGGACATAGTGTTATCGGATCCACAACGACGAGCTGCCTATGATCGGAATGGAAAACCGTCAAAAGAATCTGGAGGAGCTTCTTTTATGGATCCGCAAGAGTTTTTTCAACAGCAATTCGGAGGGGACAAGTTCCTAGATATTATAGGGTATGGTGTGTTTGGTGTCGTAAACTCATGGGACACGGCCCATTGACGCCCACCCTTAGAGAAATCTCACTTGCACGAGATTTGAAAGGAATGAGCAATGTTCCGAATGAAGATCAGAAACATCAGCAACTCACCCTTCAGGAACGAATTCAAATCAGAACCGCGCGAGTTGAACGATTGGCCCAAAAACTTCGAGAAAAACTGGATCGCTATGTTAATGCTTTTCCAGTCAGCCAACCTTCTCATAATATCAAAGAGCCAGTTGGTAGCTGGGGCGCATGGGATAAACCAGGAATTGGAAACATCAGTTGGACTTCAGCTCAAATGGGTATGTATGAAAACTGCAGGGGTTTTCTTGTTATGACTATCTAACGTTTACTCCCTTACAGACTACGAAATCGATGAAGCCGCTTTTGCACAGCAATCACAAGATCGAGCACTCCGAGAATTTCGTCAAGAAATCCAACGCGAAGCTGCGGATTTGAAATCAGAGTCTTTTGGGATCGAACTATTACATTCGATTGGCTTCACGTATTCACTGAAAGCCGCTCAATTCCAGGCAAAATTGGATGAAGATCAAGGAAGCTCTTTTTATACGCGTTGGATGGGACGCTGGAAACCGATGGGCTGGTGTTGTACGGTAACGAATTGCTTTCCTGTTTTTCAAGAGTCTGACGCGCGAAACAGAGAAAAGGCACATATCGTGAGTGAAACAGTTGAGACCATTAAAACAGCTATCGATATGCAATCATCATTTGCAAAGATACAAGAACTGGACAAGAAGTCTTCTTCCACAGGAAACAAAGACCAGACGAATTCAAGTGATCCGTTCGAGGACCGCGACCGAAGTAAACTGGAAAAAGAAGCCGCTGAAAAGGGTTTACACGCGATATGGAGAGGATCCAAGTTGGAGATTGAATCGGTGTTGAGGGATGTTTGTGATACGGTGTTTCTTGAGAGTAACGAGAAGGTAATGGATTTGGAGATTTACAAACGCAGAGTGGACGCATTAGGCTGTGATTGGTGAAGTGTACTCAAATGTGAGTTTGTAAGGATAAATTCAAGATAATAAAAATCGAATGATCGAATGGAAGAATTTGCACACACGAGCGAGTTTGACGTCTTCAGTGGGGTGGATGTAGGCCAAAATGAGAGGGAGAACGTCAAAGACATGATATTTATTTGTTGGTTTAAAAGTCAAGCGTTTGTAACACCAGATCAGCACACGCCATTACAAACCCACCACCAACTATACCGACTATAATCCATGCGCCCACCCGAATATGGATCTGCCTCCGACTTCCCTTTACATCCACCACAACACCCCCCTTTTCAATCCATTCGACTGCGCTGGGAACAAGCTCTCCATAAGCAATTGCTGCCATAATACCACTCACACCGGCGAGCATTTTTTCAATGCGTCCAGGTTTGGCAATTACCTCTGCGCCACCAAGGCACCAAGCCAGCACAACCCCCAGCGGTTCCATGAGCCCATTGAGTAATGTGAGAAAAAGAACGCGACTCCGAGAACGCGATGTGTACCACAGCGGAAGTGCCACAATCATGCCCTCTTAGATAGGTGTTAGCAGTCAAAAAGGGTAACAACAACTTCAAAGGCATTTACCCAACACATTGTGCAATAGAATCGCGAGACATAAACTCACACCCAGCCTCACATTACTCGCCGTAGTCAAAGCCACGGAAACACCTTCTGGTAAATTGTGGATAGCGAGTCCCATATAAGTGACGAAACTGGATCGGACCATCGCGATTGTGTTTGTATTTGCCACGCGACTGATTCCGCCATTGTTATTTGGTGTTGATATCGTCGCCGATGCTCCAAACATGTTCATGAGGAAAGATTCAAATGGTGAGGTGATGTGTTGTTGAGGGAACGTCGTTCGTGACATTGACGTTGGTGAGAGAAGGGCCGCATCATCAGTGCTGCTATTATCGCTTTCTATAACAGAGACATTAGCTCCTTCTTCCAGGTCTTGGAGGTGAGGTGAGCTTGGGTGATTTGGTTGAGAGTGGGAGTGTGAAGAATTTGCCAGGAGCTTCTCGATCCCCAACATCAACAGAAATCCAACAACCATGCAAAATAGTCCAGTAGGCCAGCCGGTGGTCGGAATCGCTTCGTGAAACAGTCCTGAAGAGAGAGCAAGCATCACCTTTGGGCAACAGCAGTCAACAAGATCCAGCCTCTATTCATACAACTTACCCCTGCTGAGCATGCTTGAAGCCTTCCAAAGAGTGATGCACTTTTGGCGGATAGTGTGTTTACAGGTGGCGGCGAAGGTATCAAGATTAACAGGATTACAGCCCCTGTTCAAAGCATCATAATAACTGAATATGCAATCGAATCGAATTAATATGCTTCAAGATACCTAACGCCGTGCCCGCTCCGGCGACCAAGGCGAGAAACAGTGGAAGTGAGGAACTTGTCATTATTGTTTCTTTATTTTTGATTGGTCAACCATCAATCGGGGAAGCATGCCGTTGAACCTACAGTTCTTGACACAAAAGAAGAAACTAAAAATATGACGAATATCTGTCAGTATCACAGTGAGAGTCGCGATGATTATCATGATTTAATGTTTTATAGAGAAACTGAGGCGACGTGCCCGTATAGCTCAGTGGTAGAGCGTTGCACTTGTAATGCAAAGGTCCGTGGATCAACCCCGCGTGTGGGCAAGGCTTTTGGATGGGGAGGGTTGGGCGGAATGATGCGTTTTGGGGATATCTTTTCGGATGGTTGGGGAAGGGAGGCAACAGGCAGGATCGCGTTTCGTGCACGCGTATCGCTCATCCATCCCTATCCCCATAATTGCGAAGGCATCCCATCATACAGTACCCCATGTTTATCACATTCTTTATTACACCCGTGAAGCAACAAATTTCTCACGAAGTCAAGCACCCGCTCGTCCACATTGAACGACCGCTTTGCAAACTTCTTTCGAAATTGAATGAGCGAATCGTCTTCTTCTCGAAAGCGCAAATCTCCATCAACTGTCCAAGCGGAAGCTGAACCAACAACACTGTAAGGTGCCCCCACCTGTCTCTCTCTCGACCCCCTAACCCCGACAAAACAAACCACTTCAGAAACCGTCGCTCTTCTCGTCTCAGTCTCAAGGCGCAAAACTCTGCTTTGTCGTCAAATAGTCACTCGCCACTGTCTATCCACAAAACAACATCAACTGCTCTGCCACGGTCAGCTTCCTCTGCCTCAACATCCTCTTCATCTTCATCAACCTCAAAGAAACCTAAGCGGGAAATGCCACGGAAACAAAGGGGAAAGGTGGGTTTCTATCCATCCATCGCGCAATCTGCGATTTAACTCGTTGAAACAAACAAACACAGAACTCTCTCGGAGGAGACTCAGATGCCGATCCAATGGATTTAGATATCAACAAAACTAAAGCGGCGTCACCAAAGTTGAAGAAAGCGAAGCAAGTCAGGAAAGCTGCGGCACCAACCACCTCTGCTGCCATAAGCAACAAACGCAAGTCGTCCAAGCGGGATGATGATGAGGGTGATGATGACGAAAATGATGAGGAAGAAGAGCCACCATTTGGCGAAATGGGCCATGACGAGAGGACTCGGATGGTAATCCAACCAATGCACCTGAGGGAATGGAAGATTTCATGGCCGCGATTTTGAATGCTGCAGGATCTGGTGCTGCTCCGCCCGTCGCGTTCCGCCCTGTTTAATGCAATGTTTGGCGGAGGAGGTGGTGGCGGTGGTCCGTTTGGCGGCAGTCAAACCTCTTCGACCGCCTCGTCTTCGAACACTACTGGAAGATTTGCTGAAATTTTAAAGCAGTTGAACGGCCGTAATCAGGAAGTTCAGATGATTGCGCTCCAGGAATTGTCGGAGGAACTATCAGTTGCTACTGGTAAAACATTAACGTTGACACCACACCTTTCACTTTGATCCCAAATTTCAATATATAATAATAGAGGATATGTTCATGGGATACGGTCGTGCCGGGCGAATGCAAGGATTTTCAACTCCAGAGTTCACAACAGCGTTGTTGAAATTAATTGGCCCACAATCTCCCATGGATGATGCAGCATTCGCCCAACAATTTATGATGGATGATGATGATTTCGGAGGGTTTGGAGGAGGTGGTGGACACATGACGTCGGAAATTATGCTTCTTTCGTGCCGTTGCTTATCAAACCTGATTGAAGCCAATCCGGGTGCAAGCAGTGTATTTATATCAAACGGAGGAGTCAAAATTCTTGTTGATAAATTGAAAGAAATCGAGTACATTGAATTGGCTGAGCAAGTCTTACAAGTTCTAGAAAAAGTGTAAGTCACAAATTTTTGAGGTGGTTTAACTTGCGGCTGAACAATATCTTCTTTAGATGCATTGAGTATCCACATGCAATTATAAAGGAAAACGGATTAGTTGCATGTGTACAATACTTGGATTTCTTCAGTTTACACGTGCAACGGACTGCTGTGTCCATCGTCTCCAAAAGTTGCAAAGGGCTCGGTGTTTTGAACCCAGGTTACGTCAACACGAATAATTCCTGGCTTGAAAGCAACATTTACCTTTTTCCTAATACTTTGTAGGTTCGGAAAAAACACGCGAATTGTTCACGAAACTTAAAGAAATTATACCCATTCTCGAATCATTGTTGACAAACGCGGATTCAAAAATTGTGGAATCAGCAGTAACAAGTTTAGAGTCAATTATTCAGTGGAGTGTCCGAGACGAAACCTACGCTAGAGAGCCTCGTTACGTCCTTCTTTAATTAGCGCAATAATGGCCGTATTGAGACCCAATGCCGCGAGCACTCCAATCACACCTTTCAGTTCGAAGCGTCCCATGTCAATGGTACGCCCACCAGTGGAAATCCAACGGCTGGCGCCAGCTCAGTCGGCACTGGCATATTCACTCAATTGATTCGAATGCTGGTCAACATTTGTAAAGGAAGCACAAAATTGAGTGTGGAATTACTCAAACCAGAGTACGGGGTTACGGACTCGGTGTATAGCTATCTTACTGGCAGTGGTAACGTCCCTAGCCAATTGACCAACATTGGCGATGTCAATAGCCGCATGGGAATAGACAGCGGGGTCTTATCAAGCATGGTCATGAACAGCATTGTGTCGCGAGGATCAGATCAAGTGATTCAAGTGTTGGTGCTTGCATGTGAACTGTTTCCTGCACTTCCAAAAGTTGGTTCCGAATGGTGCATGAAAATTGATGATCCTCTTGTGGAAGAGGTTCACCAAACAAAGGACGTGAATGAGAAAGGAAAAGAGGCTGGAAAGAAGAAGCCAAAAGCTTCATCTTCGTCCTCAACCACAGCGCCCATTCCAACACGAACTCTACGCTCAAATTCAGCAGCGACCAAATCAGCACCCTCTTCTGCTTCAAGCACAAGTGCCGAATTTCCGCAAGAGAGCTTTGATACTCGACGCCGAAACGTTATGGACTCGACGCCGACGACAAAAGCCTTTCTCGAAACTTATGCATTCCACCTCCTTCCTATCCTTATTGAAGTGTTTTCTACGAGTGTTCACCCACGAATAAGACGGCTCGCTGTTGAAACAGTTGCGAAATGCGTTTGGTTTGTGAATGATGGTGTGGCGTTGGGCAAAGTCTTGTTGGACGCAAGAGGATTCGGGAAGTTTGTCTATGAACTCCTGGGCATGCGGAACCTTGCTTTTCGGGCGGCAGTGGTCCAATCCAATGCAGAAGAAAATGTTGGACGAGGCTCTGTTGTGAGTATCGTTGATAGAGACCGCGCGGAGGCATTCGTCTTTGTCAGTGCAGGAGTTCAATTGACATCAATAGTTGTACATAAATGTGGGGCAAAGATTGTGGGATGGTTGATTCGTGAGGGTATTTTAAGCGAAATGAGGAAATCTGTTGAAGAGTTGGAGTGCCTGGTTGAGAAAGAAAATCGGGTTGAAAGCCCCTCTGCCGTGACGAGTTTTGTGGATCCTGCCGGCGCTGGAACGGGTAGAGCCGTAAGAAGCGCATCTGCAGATCGGAAAGGAAAAAGTGTCGCTATTGGAAATGAGAGTTTGGCTTCCCCGCCTCCTGCAAATGCTGCTTCTTTTCTGGAAGGAATGAAAAGCGCGTTAGAGAGAATGGCCGGTGCCGTATCCACGTCTGATTCTCCGACCGCGTCCGCCAATTCACCTAGTGCTCGGACAGAATCCACATTAACAGGACTCAATGGAGAGGTGTACTTGGAAAAGGAAGCAAAACAATGGCTTCTTCACTTTGCTTCTCTGTTTTTGCAAACCTTGGGAGAAAACAAGGCTCTACTTTCTGCTGGAACAAATTCATCATTTGATGTATTGAGTGACCTAAAACGCGTTAGTCGCCTATTGAAGAAAGGCAAAAAAGAAAACGTTCCTGGCATTACTTCAAGTCCTTCAAAGAACAATGAAGCAAATGATTCCAAGTCTGCGTTGGTGTCAGATGATTTGATGCTGGAAGAATTGCAACGCATAGCACAGCACTTTGCGGGTGTTTTGAACAAAGACGACGCACAGAATGTTGGAGTCACTGGATTTGAAGTTCTGGAAAGTGGAATTATCGAAGGTTTGACAAATTACCTGACTAGTCCAGGCCTTGGCGAATCGAGGCCAGAAAACTCTCTCGTTATTTATCAAACGCCACTGAATTCCCGATTGCAAGCATTCTTGCATATTTTCTTGGATGGCCACAAACCTATTTCAAGTGTTGCGTCTTCGCCAACGTCCCGTCACATTCCTGGTGCCTTCAAACAATGCGTATCTCGCCTTCAGGAGTGTTTATCTCGAGTGGAAGACTTCAAATTAACGGTTGCCGTTCCATCCCTTTCTAATTCTTCAGTTTCAGCAACAGATTCAGCACTTCTGTCAATGTTTGGAAGCCTGATTGGTGGTGGAGGCTCAAGTCAAAGCGCAACCGCTAGGGAGCAGGCATCGCCGGCACTGCAACTTGCTAGACAAATCAAGTTACGGCTAATTTGCGAAGACCCTGAAACTGTTCCTCCACAGTTCCGTAATGCTGTTATCAGTATTCATGCTATTGCGACCATCAAAACATTTGAAGACTTTTTGCGAGGAAAAGTTGCGGGATATTCGAGTTCAAGCGGGAGCAGTGCTGCTATTGGTGTTGCTGCTGGGTCTGAAGTTGTTGGCTTGGATGAGACGGCTAAAGTTGGAAACAGTAGTGAAAGTGAGGACGAAGAAAAGAATGAGGACTGCGATGACCATGAAGATGAAGAAGATCGAGAGGACGAAGAACACGACGAGAATGATGAAGACGCGGACGAAGAGGTGAGACTCCATTTTTTTTTAAAAAAAAAAGTTGGTTCTAAATCCTGTTACTTGTAAAATCCAGGTCAATGTCTTGGAAGAGTTGATGGAAGCTGAAGGCGAACTCAATGAAGGGCGGCCATCAAGCGCTGCTGTTGATTTAATCCCTCCTCCATCCCCGACAAAAAAGAAGTCACCATCCCGAGCGAGTTCACCAACAAAATCAGTGGCCTCTGCTGCTTCTTCGGCTTTGCCCAAACCTGCTGCTCCCTCCTCAACTTATGCAAGCGCCGCTGCCTCCCTTCAAAACTCCTTTTCAATCAAGTTCTTTCTCGAAGGTACTGAGCTTTTAGCTGATGAAACAATTTTTGGAGCCTTGTACCGTATGGAGCAATCCAAATCTGATGATTCCTCAGCTGCAA